AAATGTTCCTTCAAATTGTTGCCTCTTCTTCATTCCTCATGTAATGGCAGCCCCTGGTAAGACTGCTTTGAGTACAGCCCTCTGCAGGCTGCAGCTACTGCAGGCTTCCTGAATAGGCAAAGATTATGTCAAAACTCTAATTTCTGTATTTAAATATGCCAAAGTCTCAGGTCCACACTGGTAGGCATAGGCCTAGGAGCATCAGTTTTTCCCTGAGAAGCTGGTGCAGTGGAATGGTCTGTACTGGAGAACGTGACCCTCAGAGTGCTGCACGGAGCAGGTGATTAATCAGTGTCCTTGGTTTGGGGTAAGTCAGAGCTGGTGTCGCTGCTGGTTTGCTGTGGAAGAGTCTGCATCTGTTCATGTGGTTTTGGCTAAAATACAACTGACAGCTTTGCAGGCAGGGAAAGGTGTACAGCAGTTGGAGGAGAAGGATGGTGCCTGACTCATAATGGAAATGAGTAGAGAAAGCATCACCACTGTGCCACTGGGGTGTAGGCACAGGGTATTCAGAAAATGTGCTCAATCAGCACTATCTAATAATTTTCAGTTTGGTTTTTTTTCCAGGAAATCAATATAATTTTAATCAGTTGAAACTTAAGATTTCCCTGGCCTTAAAAGTTGTGCTGTTTCTATAACAGGTAACACGTTTTATGTATGATGGCATATTTAAAAGAGGTCTGCAGAAAAAATAACTACCAGTTCTGTTTAACCTGCAACATACACTTTTCACTTTTTTTTTTTTTTATTTCATGCAGATTATTTGTATTTCTTTTAAAGAGGAATTTAAAACACAGAAAAGAGATTGTCCAAGAACTCAAGTATGAAAAATTGCAGTAGTTGTTTGTCGCTTACTTACAACTATTTTTTTTCTGAAATTTATAATTCTCTAGACCTAGAAATGTGTTTTTAGAATGCTGGAGTTGTACAGAAAACTACCAGTTCTGTTTAACCTGCAACACACACTTTTCATTTTTTTTTTAATTTCATGCAGATTATTTGTATTTCTTTTAAAGAGGAATTTAAAACACAGAAAAGAGATTGTCCAAGAACTCAAGTATGAAAAATTGCAGTAGTTGTTTGTCGCTTACTTACAACTATTTTTTTTCTGAAATTTATAATTCTCTAGACCTAGAAATGTGTTTTTAGAATGCTGGAGTTGTACAGAAAGACATTATTCAGCCTACTCTGCATGGACGGGTTAGCTGTAAGAAATACTATCCACAGCTATGCTGGCATGAAATATGTGCATGTGCAACAGCGTAATGGCTTTAAATGCTTTCCTTGGATATCTCTACTGGTTTTTGGTAGAGTCATTGAAGATAAATTTTAACTAATAACTACAGGCAGGTCTTAAAAAAAAAAACGTAAATGTGAAGTGATAGAAAATAGAAATATAACAGCCTTATAGAAATAGTTTTACTGTCCTCTGTCCTGTGTAACAGCTCTTTTTACAGTACTCCTTTAGAATTGCTCATGAAACCGTGAAGTCAAGTCAAGCATTTCTGTCTGGCACCATACCTCCCAGTTTCACTCAACAACCAGTGTAGCGCCTGAGCTCAAAATACACTGATGAACAACTAAGGTTCAATTTGGCTTGTAATTTTTTTTTTTTCCTGTGGTTATAGTCATCAGACACTCCAAAAAGCATTTTCGTTTCTGCCATACTGTCAGGCAGGATGCCACAGGGAAGGAGACTGAAGTGTCAGTTCTCCATGCCCTGGTGGACTGGAAAGCTGGGGTTGCTGCTGCATGATAATACAGTGCCCTCCTACAAATGCTTCTCTGGCAATCCTGGGCTGTGCACTCGTGTGTGAACAGCATTCAGATTTGACACCAGCCAGAAATGTTATTATCTGAACACAAGATGCAAATATAACGATGTGGAAATGTAGAATCAGGGATGCAGATCTTCTGTGAGCAGTGAGTTCTATATATTATAAAAAAAAAGTTTCATTTTCCAAGGAGATTTTGCTTACATTGAGCCCCTATAATTGACTGACTGTAAGCTCCTTAACTTTTTCTCATAATGCAGAGCTGGATTTTTTGCTGTTCATTTTGAGGCTCGAAGTGGAAACCTTCAGCATAGCTATTGAAAAGCTACAAAATATATGCTTCTCATAGTAAGAGGGAGAGAGAGAGAAGGATATAGGGTATTTACTAACTTTTTTTCTAAAATACCCTTATTCTTTCACACAAAGCATCATCCTCCTTTTTCATAGCACAGCCAGCCCTTATTTGTAAGTGCAAATCTGTAAAATATCACAGAATCATACAATGACTTGGGCTGAAGTGTACCAGATATGCTATACTCTAACAAAATTTTATTCTTACATCGTTAGGGGGAAACCAGTCTTAAGTTGTGTGAAAGTTCCATAGGCAGACGGTTTAGACTATAAAACTCAGAAGGGTATGCTAAAAAGGGAATCATATGCCTCCTGAGCTGCCAGATAACTGATTCTGTCTTAGTGAGACAGGTGTTTTTCTCATATATAAAAATTAAGAATTGGAGATGATTCAAAAGTAGTGTCACTGCTAATGGGGGGACTGAACTGATGGATTTTCAAGGAAAGATTAAAGAAAGCTATATCCAGCTCAGCTAAGTAACAGAAAGGTTCATCAATAATTGAAAGGTGTCAGCCCCAAAGTGAGAGTATTTAGAACTACAAAACGAAAAATAGCTAGGAATGACATAAGGAAGTTTTATTTTTGGAAAAAGTAGTAGAAATAAATACATTGAATAGGAATAAAAACTGTTAGACCAAGGAGCAGTTCCATAAAGAGAGTGATTGCAAGCATGACAGTTGCAACTTAGGTCTTTCCCCATGGATTTGGATTCCCTAGATTTGTAAACAGATAGGACAAAAATGCTAAAAAGGATGTATTTTATTGCATGGAGCAATCATGTGTTGAAGGTAGATGGCTGGAATGAGCCCTTCTGGCTCTTCAATCTCTTTCCTGCCCCATGCACTTTAGCTGAGGTTCGCTGTGATCTTATCTATGAAAAGTAATATCTTTGTGGGAACCTGAACTGTGATATTATCAGGTCTGCTCTAAGGATCTTATATATACCACTTCATCACAGATATTATTGACAGTAAGTGCTTTTACCACTTTTATATATGCTCACTGTGAGTTGTTTTACAGCAAGGCAGCCAAATGAAGAGAATTTTTCATGACCAGCTGAGCAGCTGATAAGTCTCTTTACAAGCACTTAGGCAAATTCAATACACTGGGACGTTAAAAGGGTGGTTTAGGACAAAAGCGGGTGTCAAAACATAACCCTCTGCTCTTGCCATCACCTCAAAGGTTATCTCCCCACATGTAAAATTACTCATCTTTTAAACCCCACTATTTCTTAATTCCTTTGTTTGGAAAGTCCATTTGATCCTATTCAGGATTCACTTCCCCCCTCCTGATCTTCTGCTTTTGTCTCCTGTTTCCCTCCCTTGCTGTCTGCACATCATGATACTTTTTCAAGCTGAGTCATTATCCTTTTAAATGCTTCTGGAAGGGCTTTTTTTTCTCAGTCATGCTTATCTGTTTCTTAGCCAAGTGGTGCCTGTAGGAAGATCAGAATAACCCAAGCTAGGAAGGGGTCTGTGAATTGTAGTGCCTATAAAACAAGCATACAAGTTGTATTGTTTGTCCACAGTGAGTTCACTTTCATCCCTTATTCTATGGCCATTTTGATGGATATAAACATCCACTGGGAGGCAAAAAAAGGACCAACACTCTTCACCATTTTCAGAGCCTGAAGATTAAAACTGATCCAGTCCTGCATGTGTGTGTGTGCGCGTGTATTTTGAAAAGATTTTTCTTTATCCTGCCAATAATGTGGAGTCCACAGATACTATGGCTCCCTTTCGGCTCCAAAATTTGCACAAATCCTCCCTGTACCATGCCTATGAGTGGAAATAGGAAATATTCGATTTCCAGGCCTGCAGCATCTAGATTGTCTAGTGTTCAGTTTGATTATGCATGAAAAGGAATGTGTCCCAAATGTAACTGTTCCTTGTGCACTACATCTTGTAAGCAAGCAGCCGGTGTGGCTTGCTTCAGTAACTTTTATATGTAAACTGTCTTCATAAACATAATCTACATTGTCAAAGCCTAATCTAAATGACGTACTGACATTGCTTATTTTTATAAGCTTGCTTCTGAATAAATGCAGAATAAATGCTGGAATTTTATATACATCCCATATATTTGAATGAAAAGAAAAATCTGGATTTGTTTCAAATGTGAATGGATAATCAAATGTTACTTTAAAAGCTCTTCAAGATAATGAGTTGTTTAGGATTTATCTTAGTCAAGCAGTTAAAATGGCTTACATGATCTTGTTGTATGAAAGTCTTTGAAGATATGTGAAAACCCTTCATGCTGAAAAAAACAATTCCAGAAAATCTAGCTGCCCACAATCATACACTGAGCCCAAAAGACAAATGTGAGCTCATGACATCTACAGCAACCTGAAACATGACTGAAATGCAGACCATCTTCAACAGTGGCCTTCTCTCTGGATAGTCATGACTACCCTCCCAGCTTCTCCCAATGTGAATAACTACCTTCCCTCTGAATGGTTGGTTTTATGGCTCAGAGGAAAAACTTAGGGGGGAATTTGGGATGGAATTTAACATCGATGGAGGGAGCCTGATGTTTCCTTCACTCCCTGGAGAGGGACAGTGAAGGTTTCCTGCAGAGCGTTGTTTCACTGGCAGCACGTTGTTCACAGATCACGTTTCTCCCATTTCTGCTGGGCTGCTCAGCCAAAGCAACCTGTGGCACCGGTCACATGCACATTTTGTGGAGACAGGTGTTGAGCACCCAAACTTCACTTCCCTTTCCTTTTCAGAAAAAAAAAAAAAAAAAACCAAAACCCAGAAAACACTTTCTGTTTTCCAGAACAGGTCGTGCTGGAACTGCCACATATTTAGGTGCACTGACCTCCTTTTGGACTTGCCTGTCCACGATCTGAGCTGTTCCTCCTTTTACTGCAGGTGAAATATGGGAACTATGCCTTCGTGTGGGACGCAGCAGTGCTGGAGTACGTGGCCATCAACGATGCAGACTGCTCTTTTTACACAGTCGGGAACACGGTTGCGGACAGAGGGTACGGGATCGCCCTGCAGCATGGCAGCCCCTACCGAGATGTTTTCTCACAAAGGTAAGGGTTTGGAGAGGGAGGAGCAGGTCCGAAGGGAAGGTCTTTCTCAGCTCTGGACCCTTCTTTTAATTTCATTTAATTCATTTCTCTGTGAAGGGAAAGAATCTTGCTGGCAATCCACTTAATTTCTTACATGGGCATTCATTTCCTTGGAGACATGGGATTATTCACTTTTCTAGAAACATTAAAAATACTTCATGTAGCTCTTGTGTGAATTGTTCTTGTTTCCTTTGGAAAACGTTAATGAGATAGGCTGAACTTCATTAGCAGGAAAATGAGGAAAGAGTTGATTCATTTGCTACAGAGGGTCAGTGTAACTCAACCCTTCCCGTTACAGAAGCCTTTTCCTAAAGAGAAAAAAGTAAACTTGGACACCGATGGGAAAACTGAAGGGAAATGAACAAGGACATTTGACATTTCAGTGAAAAGACCCCTATTAGTATCCAAAAACTTATATGCTTACCCTCAACACTAATCAATCTCCTATGTTACAAAACTGAGATCTCTAGAGATGCTTCTGATACGGTGTTTCCACTAGGAAATACTAAATTAATGGTGTGTGTTGTGTCTTTGCAATATTTGTGCTTCATTCTAGTATTGATTCCCAAATCAGGATGTGTGTGAAATGTGAAAAAGCAACCAAACATGTTGAAAGTGTAATATCTGTAGTCTGGCTTTTAGGAGATCTGGGCTAGCCTCATGATCCTTCTTCATTCTGAATATACTCTCACAACCCCATTTCTAATGGTTTGTATTAGATGCATGTGACAAAATTTTACAGTTGCTGTGATGGCATTTCTTTTGTGTGGTTGCCATAACAAACATGAACCATTGTGTCATACAAATATATTTCATTCAGGCTATTGCCTTTGCCTTGAGTCCATAGAATGAGGTAGAGGCAAAAGTGGTCAATAAGTGGCAATATGCAGTTTCAGAGGAATGGCTGTCAGTTCACACATACTGCATGAACAGGGAAGGCTTGAATTCTTTTAATCTCTTCTACGCTGGGAGTTATTTGACTGAATTTTGTGCTGACATGACAGTAACATAAAAGTTCACAGGATTACTGAAAAATTTAATTTCAGTGAAAGACGTATATGCTTTTTATATTACAATTAGAACTATAGGCAGTTATTTAGTGCATACTTTAATACTTCAATATTTGAACCATGACTGGGCTGGCTCATCTAAAAATCTCTGGCTCTGTAATCTTCAGGGTCTCCAAGCAAAACAAAGGCATAAAATTTCTTCCTGTAAACTTTCTAAGAAATGCTTCCAGCTGTTAGAGATCTCGGGTGCTAGTCAAGGTGTTAAGTCACCTTCTTCAGAGCATTACCCATGTAAGTTTGAGTACAAAAGTTTGAAGACATAGGGGAGTTTCATAGGCTGTGTCTTTATTACTAAATACAGGGAAGCTGCCAATTGGCATGGCGTGGCTCATGCCCTCACAGGTAAGCATTCTTCATCCCCACCACCACCACTCTCCAAGTCAGAGTGGATATATCCAAACAATCCCTTAGGGACTACTTCTGACATCATTTTTATATTAGCTATAGTTCTCGGTACGTGGGGGGATAATAGTCATGGCTGGTTCTGATAAATGATTATCTTCTTTGTCACAGTATTCGGTACCTGGAGAGGCTGGGTTACATTTTCTTCTGATATACTGCCTTTAGCAACTTCTGGATCATTGGTCTGTGCAGGCCTGACATTTCCAAGTACAATTTTATTTCATAACAAAATTTCAGCATTTCACTGTGTTATTATATCTTGAAGCTGTGGGAAAGCAGAAAGAAGCATAAAAATTTGCACATATATAGTTCTTTTTATCTGAGGATCTTCGAAGCAATATTTAAATCTTAGCATCTCTCAGTGGAAAGTAAATGCCATTTCCATTTACTGTTTAGGGAATCCATAGCATAAGGCGACTTAAGTGAATTCCCAAGGTCAGATGTTTCTCCCTGGTGAAATTGGGGGTCACAGGCACTCAGATTCTCTCATTTTCCATTTCCTGCTATAGTTATCAGAGCTCAGGTGGGTGAAGAAAGGGATTATTTGTGAGATATTGGGCCACAGGAGGGTCTGGATGGATATGCAAAATTGATGAGAAAAGAACTCATTAGATAATCAAGAGTAATGGCTGAACAGAGAAACTGGAATTTACTCGGAGTGATGCTACCTACTGGAGAATTTAGAAAGCCTGAGATATGTATTCTGAAAATGTGCATGCTCCCCCTTTATTTTTCATTTCTGTATTATGAAAGCATATTATCTTGCAGTTCTAATTATGTCCATAAATACAAATCTACAGTTTGAGGCTGTGAAACGCAATGTAAGAAGCAAACACCTGAAAGAGAAAGGATGTTTACAAGGTACCTTGCAAGGTTTTGTTCTAAAAAGCCTTCACTACTGTTCCTTATGATTATTTCCATGTGGTTTTCACAAATCATCCTTACTTTTCTTCCTAATGAAAGGCTGAGCAACCTTCAGCTGCTGCAGCCTGCATGCTAAACAGAGGGAAATAGATTTCACTGTATAGGATTAGCAAATGTTCACATTAATATTTCACATTCCTTAATGCAATAGGGAACTGGTTTGAAATATATTGGCATTTCTTGATCTTTCCCAAAATGAATATATTTATGTGAAAAATACAGGGCTTCTCTTTTATGAAATTTCATATAAACCCATAAGCTGCACAGTGTTAAATCCCTAGGGTGCAGCTGTAAAAGGTCTGGCAAGCTTACAGGAGATTTTGGTCTCATTGCAGGAAGCACGGGCACAAGTTTAAGGCTTTTCATTACCTTTTCTGAACATTCAGGCAATTCCCAGAGGAACAGGAGAAGAGAGAGGGAGGTATAAACACCCACCCCTTCTCTTCAGTGCTATGGGGCATGAGTTCCAGTCAAGATAACACTGCAGTAAAGTTCAGGCATTTTTGGGATTTCCAGAAACACTCTGTTTGGGGTGTGGGCTATGTTGTTTTCCGGGGGATGAACACATGCAAAATACTGTGCCCTTTGGGGACTACAGTGATATTCACCTGCTCTGTGAAGTATTCCAGACTCTATGGGAGTTTACCTATTAGTTACCTTGAGTAATGTGACCAGTTTTGTGCACCACAGTATAAGAGAGGCATGGAGGTGCTGGAGAGGGTGCAGAGAAGGGCAGCGAGGCTGGTGAGAGGGATGGAGAACGTGCCTCATGAGGACCAGCTGAGGGAACTGGGGTTGTTTAGTCTGGAGAAGAGGAGACTGAGAGGAGACCTTATTGCTCTCTACAACTACCTAAAAGGAGGTTGTAGTGAGGCTGGTGTTGGTCTCTTCTCCCAAATTACTAGTGACAGGACAAGAGCAAATGGCCCCAAGCTACAGCAGGGGAGGTTTGGATAGGATATTAGGAAGAATTTCTTCACTGAGAGAGTGGTTAGACACTGGAACGGGCTGCCCAGGGAGTTGGTGGAGTCATCATCCCTGGAGGTGTTCAAAAAATGAGTAAATGTAGCACTTGAGGCTATGGTCTAGTGGTTAGGGAAATGTTGGGAGGAAGGTAGGACCTGATGATCCTTGAGGTCCTTTCCAACCATAGTGATTCTGTGATTCTAGTTAGACTCCTTAAGAAAGGCATTAAACCCACATTCAGTTGGAAACGCTGAGGTGCCATGCAAAAATTAAATTCCCTGATTAAACCTCTTTCCATAACTGACTGTGATGGCATGACCCTTTATACCACAGGCACTTTGTGAGGTGCTGAAGAGAAGCCTGAAACAACCAAGAACATTGTGAGAATCAAAGCCCCAGTGATGGTCTCAGTGGCTGTTGCTTGATGCCCACCACACTGAAGAAGCACTCAGGCTTCAGTGCTCTGAGCATAGTGCCATGCCAGTGCTGACAGTCACCCTTTTCCCAGCCTCAGACTGCTGCTGCCAGCTGCTGCCCATGTATTTGCATGGGATGCAGGCCTGCCACAATGGGATGAGCTTCCAGTTACCAAGGAACCAGGAAGTGAAAATGCTTCTATTAGGCTACAGCGTAATTAACACAGAAGGTTCAATATATACTTCATCTTAAATTGATGCAGTTAGCAAGTATCATAGGGAAATGTGCTGCTGTTGAGGTACACTTGCTTGCCTTGGGTCATACTGTGTTTATAATTTCACAAGTGTGAGGTGATGCCTGTACCATTTAGGGAGAAGAGTGAGTGCTCCCACATATTTCAACTGATGCAATTTAAAATCAGAATTACTCTTACAAGTGCAAGTTTGGGCATAGTGAGATAATAGTGGAGAGTGGGGCAAAATGCATATCACTTAGGAACTCCATGCGTGTTTGCTGGGCTCTTAAAAGTTAATTCCAGACACACCACAAAAGATAAAAACATCTTCAGGATTATTCTTTCCAGACTCGAGTAGATTTAGGGTTTTTTTGGATAAAAAAAAAAAATGGTTTTTATGAGAAAAATCTTACTGTTCAAAGTGCAATATCAGTATGCCTTCAAAAAAAGCATCTTGTTTAGTATGGCTTAGTGAAGGAGGACAACCAACTGAAAGCACTGTAAAGAAACTGGTCTTTGAGACCTTTCCTTTTTGCGTGCAGAAAGCCTCTTCTCGCCCAAAACACTCACTGATGAGCATCAGTGGGTGTTTTAACTCCAGAATGATTTTGGCTTTTTGCTGTATCAGAATGGCCCAGTGGCCAGCTGGGGTCCCCTGCAGCACCTGTGCCCACTCTCTGCCCAAGGCTGTCTCTGAAAAACAGTGCCTCAGGACCATCCTGAAAATAGCTGCGTGGCTGCAGCACAAATAACAGAGAAAATAATCTGGGTAATATTTGAGTGATGGATCTGTCTTAGCATCCTGACTGCTTCATTCACTCGTTGCAGATCTTAACAAACACGCCTGGCCATGCCATTAGGCAGCCAGTTGATGTGCTCAGGTAGATTGCTGTCCCTTTTTCTTTGTCACCAAGACTTAACCTCCTGAGTATCAGCAGCCTCCAGGC